GACCATTACATTCATTTTAAACAATCCCTTGTCGAGATAACCACGACCAAAGAATATTCCATATTTGCTAAGAATAAACTTTTTAGCTTCAAACACAAGCCTAAATCCATGCTCAACAAGAAGTGATCCGGAGACCAAATTCTTGCGGATGTCTGGGACATGCAGAACATCCTTCAGCTTCAACTCCCTTCCAGAAGTGAGCTTCAGCACCACCGTGCCCATTCCAACCACATAGACGTGGAGGAGTTTCCCATGTGAAGTTTCCGACCCGTAGCAGGAGTGTATTCAGAGAACACCTCCATGTCGGAACACACATGACGTGTGGCACCAATATCGATGAACCACTCAATTGGGTTATCCACCAAATTGGCTTCAAACACCACAACCGACATATCAAAGTCGGTCATTTCACCCGGCATAAGGCCGTGTTCAGCCACAAGGGCACTCGGTTTACCTTTCATTGGTACAACCTTCTTTGGCTTCTTGCATTCTTTTGCCATATGATTCGGCTTTTGAGAGTTGGAACCTGGTCCAGTGGATGCTATCAGTTCAGTAGGATGACTGATATTCTTCTTGCGATTGTTGGATTTTTGGCGTAAAATTACACGTGAATCCTACGAACTAATATGTATTTTTCAGTTTTTACAAATAATCTAAAATAAAAAATTACAATTGAACTGAAAATAAATTACAACTGAAAAAACGAAAAGATTTTAGCCGAGGCGAGTAAAACTCTTTCCGCAAGAAGAATACGCCCCGTGTGGCAGCTAACGGTTCAGGCGTAACTTCCCCAAAGATACAACGGCAAACGTCTCTAAATCTGTAGCACACCAGATTTACGAGCTCCGGCGAACGAGAACGGAGTCGAGAATTGAGCACTTAAAATAGAAATAAAATTATCTCTCTTTTGCTATAACATATAAATTATATGTTTTTCTCTCTATATTTTCCTCTGAAAATATTTTCTTTCTCAGACAGTTTTCTTCCGTGTTCTCGCAAATGAGCAGATACCTTATTTATAGAGGTATACGATGCAATTTGTCTGTGTTAGTTGGCCAATGTGGAGTGGTGCAAGGAAATGGGCAATTCAATACAATTGGGATATAGACAAATCTGATGATAATATTCACGCAATTCAAGAAATGATAATGTATAGAAAATAATGAGGTATGGGTTCCCACTCACATTTATTTGCACTCAATAATTTACCGTGGATTCGTAAAAAAATTGATGATATCGTCGTCTGTTGTGGATTTTGTTGAATGAATTGGGTTTCTAAGAAGGAGCAATATGAATTTGCGGATGATGATGATGAATGGCATAAAATCGACATCATCCTCAAGATATATGAAAAAGACAGGACTTTGGTCTTACTGCATACTGTTAGTATGCAAAATTTGGATGCCAAAGCCTAGGAGATTTTAAAAAGACACGACTTTTTGGAGGCCACTGAAGAGGCCCTTTATTATTCGGTATCATTTTGCTACCTATCATGATATTATAACTTTTTTTCTTTTTTTTTTCTTAATATAAATTGTTCCTATCCTGTCATGATAGGAGTTTTAACAACATAAATATGGTGACATTTTTATTAAGTGTAATTAAAATTAATGTGTTTGTGACGCTTTTTAAAAAGTGTTATAAAGATAAAATAATAACAACACTTTTTAAAAGAATGTAATAAAATCATATCACTTTTTAAAGAGTGTCACCTTGTTAACCAATATTGGGACATTTATTTAAAAGTGTAATTAAATTATGAGATTTTATACAAAATTGTCATCATTTTTAGCTATATAGCAACACATTTTGCAAAATGTACTAAAATAATGCCACATTTTAGAAAATGTCACATTTTTTACTAATATGATAACATTTAGTTGAAAGTGGAAATATGTTATGACACTTATACAATTGTGTCGTCATTTTTAAGTATATAACAACACTTAAGAAAAAGTATAATTATTTGGTTAGTGATATTATTAAACAAGTGTCGCATTATTTGACAACATGGTGACGTTATTAAAAAAATATTATTAAATTATGATGCTTGTATAAAAGTGTTGGTCTTTTTATCATGTATATGGCTTCACTTTTCTAAAATATGTAGTACTAGTACTTACATATTATCGCTTTTCAAAATGTGTGCCTTATTTACCAACATAAATTTAGTGACGCTTTTACAAAATATAATTAAAACTAGATAATTGTGACCTTGTTTAAAAAACGTTAACAAAATAACAATATAATGAAATGTTCCGAAAATTATTTTTAAAAAAAAATGTCATATTTATAATTAATATATCTAAGACTAATGCAAAACAAAAGACGTTGAAGATCGAATGCTCGGGATCAAGCAAGATCCGTGTTTCGAGCCCTTCTTAGTTTTTAAAATTGACGGAACCCTTCGATGTTTTGAGGTAAGATAATGCATTCTATTATTATATCTTTTATTCTGTGTTGTAGGTGATATTAGCTAGTAAGTGTCTAAATTTATGTGTGTTTTTATTTGAAGGGGAACATTTGTATTTTGTAATTAAGGGATGAGGAGTTCCACACTAAGTTGACTGAGATGAGAAATGAATCTCACAGGCTATGAATGGCTGCCAAACCTCCTCCTACCCGCTCCGATTATTTTCACAATATTGATTGTCCTGCTAATCTCAGTAAGAGTATATATCATTTTGTTTTGTCTGTATATGAAGTCACAACTCAATTAAAGAAATAATATATGTAATAATACTACTTTAAATATTCAACAGGGACTGAAACAAGCGTTGACTGACAGATACGGTGAAGAATCTTGTCTTTATAAGACTGATATTAAGACGGTATGTGACTTGCCGATTTTACTACTGTAATCTTTTGAGTCCTACAGAGTTTTTTTTTTTTTT